TGGAATTGCTCCCATCTGTCATCAGGTTTGGGACTGGGACACTATCAAGCTTTTCAAAAACATCACAGCCAACCCCACCCTCAGCATCCCCACCTGCCCAACACAGTTTCATCATGGTTTTGCTATTTCATGTTGCGTTTCAATGTTAAGATGATCTCATTAACACTTAACATTTTCTTCCCTTAAAAAATGTTACCTGGAAGTCAGTCCTATCCTTAAAAACATCTTTTTGATTGACGTCAAATAGTTAAACATTTGACCTAAGAACGACAAAACTAGGGAAAAGACAGGCCCAGCAGGAGTGCACTCTTGTTCCGTGCTGGGTCTCATCTTGGTGCTGCAGGCTCCCCCTGAGGGGGCAGAACTGGAGGGTCTGCCTCACGGTCATTGTACCTCAAGGACAATGTGCCCAGTTGGGCTTGGTGCCCGTCTTGAGGCTCAGCTCACTGTGACCCTCTAGGACGCCAACCTCTGTGCTTTGTTTTGACAGGTCCCTGCATTGAGCTCCCTGAGGAGATGAGCCTTTCTTCAGTGACCAGTCAGCCATCCTTGACAAGCGTCCCAAAGCACAGCCACCCTCAGCTGGCGCACGGAGCTACGGGGAGATGTCCCCTCCTGCCAGGAAGAGGGCCCTGCTGGTAGGTCCCCACTGCCTGCACACTCCTCCTGGGACCTCTCATCGTACCCGGCAGGGCTCAGCCCCAGGGGCCCCATCAGAGAGAGGCAGCTCTCCAGCATCCAGGCCTCTGAGGTGTCCAGTGAACAGCGAGGGTCCTACTCAGACCCCTGCGCTCCTAGGGAAGGCCTGCTTATGCCAGCCTCGACCGCCGGGCAGCAGCAGAAGCAGCAGCAGGGCAAGGCCCCAGGACAAGGAGATGGCCACTGAACTTGGGACTGCCCGGGATCCCGAATGTGGCCAGGGGTCATCGATGGCTGGGCTTTAACTTTGTTAATGATGCTGACATGCAAAAGTTCTTTTATTTTAATATAATCATATTTATCACACTGTTAATGATTTCTGCATTGTGACATGTTTAGATGCTCCCTCCCTAGCCTGATAACATAGGTTTTCCCTATGTTTGATTATAATTAACTTAAATTTGAGTTCATCTTGAG